GCCTCGGATTTGGAGGATCTTCATCCCGGCCGTGTCGCACTCTGCTGCGAACCGCTCCAGCGAAAGCTGTAGATCACGATATGATAAAGCCAACTGGACCACATCATCTAAACAAAATACATTCCTATTCTTCTATTCCTATTTTAGCTTGCCCAAGTGCTAAAATCCTCTAATTTTGTTTAAAAATATGCTCCATTTTCAAAGACAGTGCAGTTTATCTATTTGGCTCTGCAGCCAGTAGCATGCAGTCTATCCTTACACTGAGGTTAATTAAGTGTGGATATAATCAAGGTGTGATTATGTATTGATCCCCACTGCGGGACACCCGGGTGTTAAACAATGCAATCCCCTGGGCTTTGATGCAGGACCCGAGCCCATTCATCGTGCCTGCGAGCGGAGCCTGTGACTGCTGTTAAGTGGTGATTTGGTTTGGTGTAGGACAGTCTGGCTTATCTCCCCTGCCAGACAACAGCAATTCAGCTGAGCCGTCCCACCCGACCTGCTTTGCCCTTACTCCCTTGTTTTCTTTCTTTTTTTCTTTTTTTTTTTGGTAATAAAGTGTTCAGATAAGGTGGGAACTTTATCTCATTACAAGCTTTAGGACACTCACCATGTTAAATGAACAAATATGCAAATGTTCACTTGGTTCATGGAGATAGGGCAATTAGAATATATGAAACCAACACAAATCTTACTATCATTTTTTATTTATTATTCTGCATCCCTCATTTGCTAGTCTGGGCGCAGGAGCAAATGAACCCTTTCCAAGCATGCTCTGTGAAGGATTGTAAGACAATAGGCTGAATAGGCTCATGTTTAAAGAAAAGAAGGGGGGGGGGGGATTAAAAGATAGGATGGAGCATTGATGCTAACCCGGTTCCTCTTCTATCCCACAGGGCAGAAACCAACCACAAGGTTAAAACCAGTGGGTGGGATTGACAAGGGGGCAGGGGTGGACAGATAGAGATAAGAAGGAGAAGGACAGAAAAAGAAGGATGTGGGAGCTGAGCACAGTAAAAGACAGGGCGCTCTGTAAGTGCACCATGCTCTGATAATAGTAAAAGAATAAGACCAGGGACTCCTCCATTATCTTTGTGTGCAACGCGTGTTCATTGGATGCTCAGATAGGATGCTGCACTGTACCCTGCGGGCCCAGCAGCACCATTGTGATGGTATTACTTCCATGGCCAAGACTCACGACAGGGGACAGTCTTTTTTTTCTTCCCCACACAACCCTATTATGAGCAGCACAGACTAAAAGCAGAACAAGAATAATGCAAGAAAAACCTCACCACAACAAACAGGAGTCTTCTTATGTGCCTGTGTCTCGCAGTTTAGATTCTAATAATTGCACTAAAGACTTTTAATGGCCTATAAGCATGCACTACGAGACTTTTTAATGAGATTACTAGGGCAGCAATAGAGGGTCTGGTGAAGCAATTATTTCCTTGCTTTGAGAGTGATCGCTCCCCCTGGTGTAAACTCCTCCTTTCTCTTTCTTACTCTCCGGTCATCATTTTTATCTTTGCTGTCTACTTTTATTATAATCACTGTTGATCTGTGAGTGGTCTAAGAATGGCTGAGGGCTGCTATTATGAGTGTGTTAGAGGCATACATGGATACTAATCAAACTGCAGGCGAGCTGAAAGAATAATGGCTTTGTGCGCTGGGGGAGAGGGGAGGGACCACGCAGTAATTGTGATTAGATATAATTAGTCCGCAACGGGCTTAATAAGCTAGCTGGACTTGGCGTTGTCACTGAGGCGTGATTGGTGGCGATGCAGTTGGTCAATTTTATTTTTTGCAGCAGTTAAAACTTGGGAATTGGCAATACTTGTCTATATTCTGGTACCCAGCTTTTCTGTTTTATGGTTTACTGACCAGAGTGCAAAATTGTTGAATTCTGGTGAGTTATGCTGTAAAAAAAAAACCAACAGTCAAATAAATATTTATCATGGTCGCACAGTTGCAAATCAATAACATTCCATTGCAGTTTTTTTTTTTTTTTAAACAGATGGTCAGTTAGATTTTGCTTAAACTAACATTGTCAAATTTTATTCAGCCGGATTATTACAATGAAGGGATAGTTGGAATTTTCTGAACTTAAGATCTGTGGAAATGAACAATTTCTATTTTACACATATTTTATGGGAAAAAATCAGAGGTTGTTGCAAAAAAAAAAAAAAAATGCAATCAATTAAAAAAACAAAATCTATACCATCATCAGTTTTATATTAAGTTAGTATTTTGTCCGAAAGTTTGTAATATCCCTGGTGCAAGTGCCTCCATCTGCAGCACTGACAATACAACATCTGGTTGCTGTAATGCTGGTTGTGTTTGCAATTAACCATACATTTAATTGTAAATAACTCTATAATGTATTAATGATGATGGTGATGTAAAGATTAATAAAGTATTGTTCACATAAACTGATTTTCAGATTGGAGTTGTTGTACAGAAATGCACTTTGGTTCTGGCTGAACTCAAACAAGCCGTTAGCACGTCAGTCTGCTGAGAATCGAACGCTTTTCCTCTGTTCTGAGGTAGCTGAAAGAGCTATCTACAAAATGAGGCATACCTTCTATCCATCTGTATTTGTTCCATAAATGCCACTTCAAATGATCCAGCTTGAAATATCTTCATTGGAGTTCATTTACAGTAGTCCCTCGCTACTTTGCGGTTCAACTTTCGAGGACTCGCTCGGTTTTTCAAGGATTGTCTACTTAAAATTTACTCACATGATTGGAACAGTATGAGATAAAACGTTAACGAAAAAAATACTTTGGTCAGGGGCTGCCATTTTGCACTTTTCTTTCAATAAACCTATACTGTAACACCAGTCAAAGGAACTACACTACCCAGAAGCCAACAGTGCTTCCGGCTGCTGCTTTCTGCCAAAATGGAGGGAAAGTTTTGCAACGCAAATATACGCTATCTATTAAGCTCACAGAACTGGCAGGGAAGTCGCAAATAAGCATGAAGCTTCTTGAAGCTCAGTTATCCACGCACACAACAAGTGGATGGGGCGGTGGGCTTCGTCGCTGCAGGGTAGGTCTGTCGAACCAGAATCGAGCCAAAACCGAGCTGCTGTTCTGCAGAGCTGGTGAGTAAAATTTTACAGTACTGTACAGTATATATACACATGTTCAAATTACATAGGTTTAAGAGTTTAGAACAATGCAAGAGTGGGAAGGGTTTATGAGGCCTTAAAATATATAAATACTAAAATAACTATAGCATTCCTACTTCACAGTTTTTCATCTTTCACAGGGGTGTTTGGAACGTAACCCCCGTGATAATAGAGGAACTACTGTATTAACATTTTAGCAGTTTTTTTTTGTTTGTTTTTATTTAATTTTTTAAGTTTGTTGGTTTCTGGTAACAACTATAAGATGAATGCGCAACCCTGCAGCACACGCTATCCAATATACTGTATCATGCCAAAAGTCTTAATTTTCTTGAGGCAAATATTGAGGGGTGAGCCTCAGTCATAAACCCATATTCTGTTTAGATGAATGCAATGGTCATAGCTAAACACATGGTTAGTGTTGACTGTATATCTTAGTTATTTTAGCGTACCGTTTGGTGGTTGTTTTTCATTTATCTTAGTGTATATTAGATCCTTGTTTACCATTTATTTTTATACTTTATATTTTTGCTATTTTTGGGTGTAACTGGGACCCTGTGTAGATAATTTTGTTCCATCTCATGTACCACATGAGATGGTAATGACAATAAAGTTTACTTGAACTTAAAAGCTCACTAAACATTAAGTAGAAGGTGAGAGGCAGGTCGACTTTATTCAGCTTTGTTTGCTCACTCATTTTATGGAGTCTTCTAATCTAAGAAATATGATGCTGCATTGTTTGCTCTCCTGAAACATTTCTTCATTTCACTGGTTGTATTTTCAACAGTCTCCTTAACACCATATAGCTTTTGTCAAAGCCTTTTATCAAAAACAAGCTAATAACTTCAACAATACAAGCACCAGCATTTAAATTCAAATGACTAATTTTAACACTGCAGACAGATACCAGTGTTGCTGAGTTGTTGTCCTTTGCCTGCAAACTACCACATACTTTTATTTCTCTTAACTTTAGTGGCATAAATGTCCCATTTCTCTGAAACATTTAAGTGTTTCCAAAGGTTAAATGAACTATTGTTAAAAAAAAAAAAAAAAAAAAAAAACTACTTCTACTACTCCAGACATAAAATACAGAACTAGATATTTCCCCCATTTACCTTACACCCATAGCACTGGGCTGTAATTGCTGCATTCGTCTTCTACTGTCATGTAAATGGTGTTTGTAAAAAAAAAAAAAGTGCTACACAAATGAAATTATTAGTAACACTAATGACTAAGAAAATGAACACAGCTTGTTTTTTTTGTGTGTGTGTGTATGAGTAATTGTGACGCATGCTGTCAAAATGATTAATACAAAAGCGCAGTCTAATGTTTAAACTAGACGCTGGAATGCAGCTGATCATCTGCTACTTAAGTCTGTGTAAGCGACAAGATTTACTTGGATTGTGTTATTGCGGGCTTGTCTACCCCATTACCTTCAATCAATCAATCAACTGTATTGGCAGACAGTTAAATAATTGAAACCGGACACATTTACTTTCCACAATAAAAAGTGGCCATTTGTCAGTCAACAGTTTATTGATTTGGTATACTGGGGTTGGGAGTATGTTTGCATAGAGAGGGTATAATTCAGACATGTAGATAAAGAGGCTGGTTGCACCTTTTGACTATAAATATTTGAGATTTGTATATGGGAGTTTGCAGCCTGAGGGTTAAATCATTTAGTATTAATTGGAAAAACTTAACAACACTGGTATTTTAACAGTTGCTGAAAACAGAAAGATAAAAAAGCAATTAAAGCACATGCCAGGTTCAGATTAAGACATTCTAACAGACAGGGATTTAACAGAAACATGGTCCTTTTATTGGCTTTAAGATGCAGCAGATGGGATTACAGACAAAGTGGGTGACTCACCTGTGGGGTAGCGCTCAATGACTGGCAGGTCATCCACCTGCAGAGTGGCATTACCCCCACTCCTTGTAAACTTCACTATGTGGTACTTTCCATCATTTACAAACTTTGACGTCTCCTCGATGTTAATGTCATCTGTCCCGACATTAAACACGACAGCAATATTTCCTTTTTCCTGGAAAAAGAAGAGCGCAGAAAAGAAAAAACAACGAGTGTAAGCAATCGTGTAATTTACGATGGATGGTGTTGCCAGTTGACTGAGCACAGACTACAAGAAACCCGGAGAGATGCTTTAAAGACACAAAAAAGTCTCTGTATTACACATTTATTTTATTTTAAAAAGGCAAATCAAGTTGATTTATATATATATATATATGTTTCCTAAGCTTCAATTTACATAAACTCTTCTTTGATTCCTACTAGTCCATAAATGTGCCAACACAACTCCAGACAATATCAAATAGAAGCACTGTAGAAATGTTTGAAATTTCTTAGTAATAGTAATAATAATTAGGAGTAATCCTAGAAATTACTTAATTTTTACACTGAGCAAAGAAACTGCACCAAACCATGAGTAAACTATTGGACTAATCATGTTTTAGGGCTAAATTAAACATTAGTTTAAACATTTCTTCTAGCTTTGGTTCTGTCTGAGTGATTTGAACAAATTAGCTGTATAATTTATTTTCAGTTTCATTTGTAAACGTGGTCCGATTGGGTTTTCTTTGTTGCCATATGAATTGTCATGCACAGCATCATACCTTATGTGTGGGAAGCGTTCAGCACAATTTGGTTTGTTTCACAACAGTTTGGTTTGCCAATGCGATGCGACGCTACTCCAAGTGTCTGATTGTGATAAACCGAGAGACATGCTGGGTTCACCATAAGGTAGATTACTGTATGGATTATAGTTTTGGCAGCCATATGAACACAGTTTATGAGTGATTGAATGTGCTGTAGTTCCTGGATGTTTGTGGACCCTTAAACACACATGTTGTGCATATATTGATTTATTTTTGTATAAATATCAGCACTTAAGTCAATAATTGAGCTAAAAATATGTGTACTTGCCCAGGTTCTTTGTGTGATGCAACCATCTGTTTCTCTAAAAGACTATAAAACATAACCATTTTACCTCTGGGTTCAATAGACATTATTTCCTGATGCATGCTCAATAATCCAAGTACTGTGTTTTTTGGACTATAAGGCGCAATATCAAAGAACGGGTCTGTTTTTATACATAAGGTGCACCAGATTATAAGGCGTATTAAGCGAAACAAAACAGTCAGATAAGTCAAACTTTGGTCAACTCATTCACATTAACAACATAAAATAGGTTTGAGGTCAGGAAGCACAACCAGAATTAATACATAAGGTGCACCTGATTATAAGGCTCTGTTGATTTTTGAGAAAATTAAAGGATTTTAAGTGCGACTTATAGTCTGAAAAAACATAGTAGATAAATCTAACAATGTTAAGTCAGGTCCTCATGATGGATTCTTCTTTGTTGGAACATTTTGTCTTTTATCAAAAATAATTATTCTGAAGAAGTCTTTTGGATAAAAGCCAAAACATTTCAACAAGAAGAATCCGTCCAGAGGACCTGACTTAACCTTGTTAGAATAGTTATGGTTGTTTTTATGTTTTAGAGCAGCTGTGGGCAACGTAAGACCCGAGGGCCAAAAGTTGCCCTTGGACAATTTCCATCAGGGCCCCAATATCCTTAGTTTAGATAAACACAACTTTTTAAATCTTGATTTTTTTAAAAGCAGCAATTTATCAACGAGACCAAGGAAATTTAAATTAAACATCTTATGCAAACTTAAAAAAACAACAACATTTTTTAAGACTTGTATTTCCAGAACTAGACTGAACCTTAAAGACTTAGAAACACACACATATATGTTTGTTATGTAAGCTATAAAAATCGTTAAAGCTAATACGTTTGTCATATAAGCTAACATGTACAACGTGTTAAGCTAACATGCATCATATATTGTCACAAGAACCAGTTTACAGAATATATCTTATACAGTATTCCTAAAGGGTTTTATGGAAAGACTTGTTTTATAAAGCTAACTGCTAGAATAAGGAAAAAAGGTCTTCTAGATTATCTGTCATAAAGAAAAAATATTTTCCAATTCTCTATGCGGCCCTTTGATTGCTTTAAACATCTTAATGTGGCCCTTTGGAAAAAAAAAAAGTTGCACACCTCTCTTTGAGGGACTAGATATTTAATTTGCAGTGCCACGCACCAAATAAAACCACACCGCTTTAACTGTGAAGCATGAAAAAATACTACAAAAACCCTTAAGGTATGTTGAAGGCATCTTGGCCAGAGTCTCCTTCACATAATGAGTGTCAGATTTAATAAGCTCCTTTTACAGTGCATGATCGAAGTCCCTCAATCCTCCTGCTTAATCCAGTGAAGATGAATGCGTATGTTCGGACAGTCTCATGCTCTCTCTGCTTATGAGCTGCAGTGAATGGAGCATCTGGTTGGAGGCTCAGCTCTGCTATAGCACACAGCACTTTGCATGATATTATCCAGTCAGCACAGCCAATGCTATGGTGCATCACCATCTCTCGCTCTCTCCAATTCTCCTACGCGCACACACCGTCTCTTTATTGATGCTGCTGCTAAACGCATGTACATATGCACACACAGATCTCAGTGCCCCTTAAAGTGCAGTGCGAGTTCAGAAGAGCCAGAAGCTGTGGTGCAATTAAAACCATTTGTAATGTGTCACACTGCGTTACTACAACTAGGACAATTGTATGCTTTGTAATGTAATTTAAAAAGATTATATAATTTGATGCATTAAAGCTACAGTGCTAACCCAATTTATTCACTGCTCGCAGGCCCAAACACCAACCAACTTATGCTGAACAACAGATAGAAACATTGACCTAAGCTCTTGTCAGGATTTTAAATCTGAACGGGCAAAATCAAAATTAGCAGATACCATGAGCATCTGATATCGTCTGACGCTACTACAAAGCTCAATTTCACGCACGTTTTATTTATTATTTTTTAAGTTAAAGGCCTTGAATATAGCATAAAAAATGGACATGGAAAAAGCCTCTGCAAATACAGAAGGAGCCTTTCTTTCAAGGACTGCTGCATACCAAACACATTAATTCTCAACATTTTTTATGACTACTGCTCCAAAAAAAAAAAAAAAAAAAAAAAAGAGGAGTGAAGAAAATAGTTTTAGCCGAGGCGCCAAGCCAATTAAAATCCAGCTTTTAATAGCCTCCTTCAATTGACTTTTAATGTTCCCCGCGGTCTTGTTAATAAATTTACTGCATTTAGTCACAAACTGCCAACTTGAATAAAAAAGCATAAAAAGGCCTTGTGCACAGTCTTGAAAGATATGGAGAAGTGGATGAAAGACAGTACTTAATAAAAAAACAAACAAAAAAAAAAACACTAAACTAACAGATTTTGTGGATTTGATAATAGAGCTGCCTCCTTAAGCATAGGAGATGCATTTTTTTCATATTTACAGCTCATTTTCTCTGCACATATTGACCTTAATATATTATTTTCTCTGTAATATCAGTTGGGCAATCATTTGCTTTATTTTCTAAAATATAATCTAATACATTATAGCATTTCCTGAACTTCAACTGACATAGACAAGACGTTGCTATGTTAGTTTACAGAGAGGATCCTAATCCCAGAGCTCTAAAAGGGTGCAGGCTTATGTTAGGAAGTGATTGATAGCTGCTTACGTAAGCTCAGCCCATTACACCCTGTACAATTTTAGGGCTGCCCCCCCCCCAGGAACATGCTGTATGGTGCTCACATACCACACCCAGGGAGCTCAGCCCTTTCTGACACTCTGCATGCTGCCTTGATTAATTGCTCATCAAGCAGCAATAGAGTTTAATTAACTGATGAAGTTGATCCACCATTTTCCTCTAATCTGCTCTTTTTTTTATGTCTCATCCGTGCAGCTGGAGGGTAGAGAAGCTGCAGCAGTACCCGGACCGTTAGCTTCTCGTTAAAATATTCCTTCTGCACTCATTACACAAGCATAGATACTGTACTTGTTTTACTAGCCATAAAGCTGCAAAACAGTCTGCAGACAGAGGTTTTCTGTGGTCATTAAGCATCTTCAGTGACACCATAGGCGTTGTATCAAGTATATGTCCCCCTCACATAAAAAAAATAAAATAAAATGTCATTTGGACCCCCTCCCCCCACAATTACCATGACACATTAGTTCACTTGGCGTTGTTTCTATTTCTTTGTGAACTAATCCATTCCACTTGATTAATAGGAGAATACTCAAACAACTAAAAGTCCACTCCAGGTTTTCCTGGTTAGCTACAACTCTCCAGCAGCAGCGCTGTTTCTCCTTTGTGTCTCCTGCCTTGGCAGGACGCTCACTGGGGGAGGAGGGGGAGACACCTCTGTGTTGCACGCTAGCTTAGCGCTCTGTTAGTACGGGCAGTTGATGACCGGGAGGGTTAGGATGCTTGAGAGAAGTGGAGCGCTACGTCTGTAGCATCTTAGCTAGTGCGTCTGTATTGCACGTGGCTAGCTTAGCGCTACACTAAGTGTGCGACGCTGTAAGACGCTGCGTGTTAAGGTGCATTAAAACTGAAATTTCTTTAAAACCCTACACCTTGTTGTCCTCAAGCTTCATGAGAAACATCCTTTAGATGAGTAGTGTTGAACATAAATAAAACAGTTTTTTTTTTTTTCATTTCTCTATAAACACACATACTCTAATGTCAACGTGACGCTGTGTGTGAAAGTGCATCAACATTGAAATGTGTTTAAAACCCCACAGTTGAATTTCTACAAAATTGGTGAGAAACATGCTTTAAATTTGTGAATTAAATTAAGCACATCCAAGAGAAATGTGGCTTTTTTGTATGTTGTTTGCCTTTAAACAGAGGCCATACACAAGGGTGCAAATGCAGCCCAGCTGTAAAGGTTGTTGTATTCGAGCACTCTGGATCTTTTTCATTCAACCTTTATTTAGACAGGTAAATCCCATAGAGCCAGGATCTGATCGAGAATAAGGTTTCCGAATGGAAGGCTTTACCGCAATTGTTAAAATACACCAGAATGAAGGAAATGGCATCTACTTTTTCCTGGGGAAGGACCCACACCTCATCTACACACACCACCAGCGCCCACTTCTCTGCTCTGCATGG